TGAAAGCCGTTTCAAGTCTTAAAAGACAAGAAGCTCCAACTTTACATTTACTTTATAAAGGCTATGCTCTCATTTGCATTGTTTACTATACAAAAATTAACATAGTATATAATATGAATCTCCTTTTCTGTTTCTTAACATACTAAAATTAACGTCTTATACAATATGGATTTCCTTTTATTTTTTAACATACTCAAATTACTATCGTCTACAATATTTAAAAATTCACTGATTATTCGCGATTTTTGATCATTCAAAAGCTACGCTCAAAATAACTACTCTTGAGTTATACATATGATTTCTATTTGATAGAATCAGCTATCTCATTATTTAACGCAGAATAAGTAGAAACTGTCAGCTTGTGTTTTTAGTTTAATTTAGCCTCCCAGCTCTTCTGCCAAGTAATACGTGACTTGTATATTTATAAAACACTTTTTTTTCGTACTGCAGAAACGCCATTTGTAACTTGAGAACAAAACAACAAACATTGATAAGAACAGACACAAATGCGGCATGATTTCCATGAGTTACGATACCTAATATTATTTCTTCTGCTCTTACTTTATAAGTAATATTATCGTATCTTATCGGGGTTTGTTTTTTATTCGCATACTTTAAATGTTTCTCGACTTTATCAAAACTTGTTTTAATCGTCAGAAGTGCGATTTGTCACACAAACTGACTGGTATGCGACTAATTCCTTTAGTAAACACAGCATCTACTTATTATTAGGATATTGAAACTGTCAGTATACCATAGGAGCCACAAACTGAGGGTAAAACAAAATTATTGCTCATCAACTCCTCTGTCCGTGGGAAGTAATGAAAAGAAAAACAAAACCGAGGGCAGACTGAATACTTGTATCGTGTGGAAGATATGTAACCAAACAATAGTATCCAGTTTTATAAAACTACCCAAATATTTTTATGTCGTCACATGTGCATGCCCTTATTTCTGTTTAGCATAGTAACTTAAAACGTTAACTAGACTGAAAGTGGCTAACTTTGGCTGAAACAGATAAATGTATACGATGTCATGCACATATTTTTGTACACTTATTAACTAGGAAAATAAGCTAAACTGAAAATGTTTAACCTCTGCTAAAATAAACAAATGTA